TACTTTCAAAACTGGAGAGTCACAATGATCCATGTTATGTCAAATGACAAAAAAGTAGTTGAATGTAACACAGAAATATCAGTAACAATGCCATAGTAATATGCATTTTTTCCTAGTTCATGTTCGGGCCATAACTAACAGAACTTTATTTAAAAACTCGTTATTGTGAAGAATTTCATGCATGTAAAATAATCCATAATAAACATATTGGCTATAAATAAGTGTGGACCCATGACCCAACTTAAGAAACAGAACCTAAAGATTATTGAAGCCTCCTCCTGTTTCTGCCTCCTCCAGTGATATCTTCTTCCTACAGTTAATTACTATTCTGAATTTTTTTTCTCTACCATTTATTCTTCAAGAAAAAGGTTTTGTAAAATGTACACCTAATTCTGTCTACCAGTCTACCGTTTGTCTAACCACTGTAGAATCCCTTTTCTTCCCACAGATGTGCTCCAACTATTACCTCTTGTCCTTTGACGTTTTCATCATCTTCTCTCTTCGATCCTTCCCATCTACTCTGTGTATCCATATCCAAAAAAAAAGCCCTTTCCATCTGCACCACAATGGCATTAAGTGATGGTCTACCACTTTCCCACCACCATTAACTTTCTTGTAAAAATACTTTTCACTTGCTGCTTCCAACTCTCACACCACCTACTGCTTAATCTTTTATAATCTGTTTACTGCCAGCAACCAGAATGCTTCTAGCTACCCTCAATCCCTAAACTGGATGAGTCAATCTCTTCAGTGCTGCCCTCTCTTGTTACCCTCTCCAGCACTATAATCTGCATTAAGAATTCTCACTCAGTTGGTGCTTCAGTCTCTTCCCTCTACACCATGCCCACACCTTCCACCTCCAGAAAGACAGAATGATTTGAACCCCACCAGCTCTTTCGCTGAGTCATAATCACCTGGAGTGCTTGGTAAAACCCTAGGCCCAGTCCCCAGAGTTTCTATGAAGTCATCTTTGAAGACAACAACCATTTATGTTGCTCCATATCATTGCCCAACGGGGAATTTTTTTTCAGGTTTTAGTCCCGTGAAAAACTTGGCATTTCTAACAAGTTCCCAGGTGATGTTGGTTGTAGGTTCACACCTGGAGAAATGCTGAATTAGAGAATTTTTAAAGTATTGTTGATCCTTAGCACCTGATATGTTGAGGCTTTTTTGAACTACATAGTTATCCCCCCTGAGAATCACTGCTGTGTGTGGCACTGGTGCCTGATGGGAGGGAGCTGATACCTCGGGTATGTGTGGAACTCCCGTGTGTATGGGCTCAGATGTGGGGAGGCTGAGGTACGGGGGTCTCAGGTGCGTGTGGGGTCTTAGGTGTGCATGGGGTTCAAGTATATGGAAGCTCAAGTGTGGGGAGGATCAAGTACATGGGGACTCAGCTGTGTGGGGAGTTCAAGTATCAGGGAGGGCTCAAGTATGTGGGGGCTCCAGTGTGGGGGACTCAGGTATATGGGGGCTCAGTTATATGTAGGAGAGGTATGCAGGGCTCAGATGTGGGGTTCTTAGGAGTGGGGAAACTTAGGTTTTGGAGCTCAGGGCTATGGGAACTCAGCAGTTTGTGTGGGCCAGGTGTGTCTGGGGCTCAGGTGTTGGGGCCTCAGGTCTTGGGGGGCCAGGGTGTTTGATGCTCCAGTTTTGTGTATGGGGTAGAAGACGGTTAACTCTTTTTTGAAGTAAATAAGGACCTTCTTAGTCATCAAATAGAGCTCCATTTTCTCAGCTCTTATTGGCCACTCTATACTACTGGCTCTTGTTTATACCCCTGCTTTCAATATTCTCGTGGCCTCTAGGATTCACACTTTTGTGGATCTCCCCTTACCGTTGCAGCTTCTGCCTCCTTTGCTGTTTCTTTTTCCTCCCACCTGCATTTCCCCCATGTCCTCTTCTTTGCGGCAAGCTACCTTAGCTGTCTAATAATGCATGGCCCCAGGTGTCAGCAGTAGCAGCAGCATCTGGGAGCTCGTTAGAAAGGCAGTCTCTCAGGCTCAAGCCCACATGGAGCCAGACTCTGCAGTGTAACAAAATCCCCAGGTGATTTTTATGTGCGTTAAATGTTAAGAAGCCCTTCTTTAGGATGCAGAGGGTTCTCTCCCGAGTCCCGCATATCCTGAGCTTCAGTGCGCTTTTCCAATTGCCAATTACATGTCTCCACATGGTTGATGCCCTGGGAAGTTCAAGTGTTGATGCCAAGCTCGTGCCCTTCTCTCACCCTCCCCCTTCTCAGCCGTGCTTCCTACAGACACTTCTTTCTTTCTTGCCTCTGCTTACACTACCAGCAGGCATCCAGAGATCACAAAACAAATACAGACAGGCACCATGCAGGTGAAATAAATGAGGGTAGTGGGCTGGGTGGGGACTGGGGTGAACTGGAGGCAGCCTGCTTTGTCTAATGCATGAGCAGCTGAAGACTGTCATTTAGAAATACGGTTTCAACGTTGCCAAACTGTGCATTTTTATGTGAGATCTCTGGATTTGATTGTGGCCACAAATTTAGTTTTTTGTTGTTGAACTGTAGGAGCCAAAGAAAACCTGTTGCAAACTGTACTGGCCTGTGCTCAAAAGCAAGTTCTTTTTGGCTTTCTCCTTCACCCTCACCTTCATCTCTCCAATCATTGCCAAAATTTGTACATTTCACCCTTTCTCTAAGTCCTGGTGTACCTTTTCTTCAGCCAACTGGTTAGAGGCACCAGAGAAGGTACAGTGACATCCGGTATTTCTACCTCCATCTTTTTGCAGTAAAAGCCACCTAACAACTGCCAAATTATTGAAAAATACTGCTCCAATCACGTAAATTACCTTTCTGTTCAAAACCCTTTAGAGACCCCCTGTGTGAAAACCCCAGCTCAAATGGCTTTTCCAACCTCTTGCTCCCTTCCTTAGCCATGCTTTTGACTAATGCTCACAAGGCTGGACAAGGATCATGGTAGTCGTAGAGATGACAAGAAATGAAGGGATTTAAGAGATATTTCAATATTAAAGTCAGCAGCAAAGCACAGCCGCTGGTAAGACTCCTACTACCACTTGCTGTGAAAAGCCCGCATAAGACATAGCATGTTGTGCACCTGAGTTTGCAAACTGGCAGTCTCAGGGTCAGATTTGTCGTACAATTATCTTTTGTGTGGCCTGCACTGCTTTAAAAACTAGTGGCCAGGTCTAAAAATAGTGATTGCACATAAAAATCAGGATTCCTGTTTTAAAAAAAAAAACAAGTGACAAATCCAGATCGAAACTCCCTCCATGGCAACTACTAGATGGAGCTGACGTTTCTCATTTCCCTTCAGATGCAGCGTGCTGTTCGCCCATCTTCACACCTAGCCCAAGGAAGTTACTATTCATAAAAATAAGCAAAGGCTTTAGAAATGAATTTAAAACGGGAATCAAATATTTGTAATGTTCTAAAATGTCACAGGTAAGTTAAGAAAATGAAGTTAGCAATATCACACCCTTCCATCCCACTGATGTTAGATATTTGGGTTTTTGTATTATGTTTTCTTTATAATATGCAGGACAAAATTTAAAGTCCCAGTGAATTACATACTTCAGTCTCTTGGCCCATGTCAGGTGACTGTTGATTGTCAACATTTCTAAAGGGTTAAACTAGATCTTCCACGGGGGATCCCCAGATTCGTCCATTCCCCACCCCTCCCAGGCCCTGCAGGCAATTGACTTCTATGAACCATAGAAGGCGGGATTCCGGTTGGGTTTGACCAATGGTGGAACCCAGGTGGATTTTGCAGGGAGAGCAAATGAGGTCACGGTGTCTGGTCCCCTGGCTCTATCACCGCAGGGATGATGCAGGCTGGCTGTGTTCCTCCCCAGATGAAGAGCAACTTTCCCTGCGTCAGGAGTGAAGGGGGCAGTTGCTCTCTTCCCTGGCCTTTGACAGTACAAAAGGACTCTAGTGGTGACCTGGCACCATTATTATTTTGGCTAGAGTTTCCTCAAATTATTCTAATTTTATTTCCTACTGCAAGTTGACTGACTCATCTCCCCAACTTCACTCCTCTAACTGAACATTGACCAAATGCATGCAAGAATAAAATACCCTTGGTAAGAGTCATTTTCTAGAACTTGAATTCACTATTTATTTTTGCAGCAATTTAAAAATTTGCCTTTGGTTGGGCACAGTAGCTCATACCTGTAATCACAAAACTTTGGGAGGCCAAGGCAGGGAGATCACCAGAGGTCATGAGTTCATGACCAGCCTGGCCAACATGGTGAAACCCTGTATCTACTAAAAATACAAAAGTTAGCTGGGTGTACTGGCACACGCCTGTAATCCCAGCTACTCGGGAAGCTGAGGTGGGAGAATCACTGGAACCCAGAAAGTGGAGGTTGCAGTGAGCTGAGATAACATCACTGCACTCCAGCCTGGGCAACACTGTGAGAGGCCATCTTAAAAAAAAAATTGCCTTTATAGTATTAAGAATTTTAGAAATTATATAATTGTCTATCTTTAAGTCTGATTCATGTTTATAAACATTGAACCAAAAAATACATATGCAGTTTAGCCTTAAAAATTAAAAATACTTCTCTAAAGTTAGGTATATTGAATCCTAGCAGTATCCTCATTTTTGTGCTATGATCCTTCCATCCGCATTTTGGCACATTAGTGCCATCTGCTGGAAAGCTGATACACTTAGGTCTCCCAAATCCCAAAATGTATGTCTTTCGGGAGGGAGTAGGAAGAAATGTACCCTTTATTTAAGAAATAAGCCTCATTTTAAGTACATAGCCATTTAACTTCCACATCTTTATCAATATAAACCCCAATTCATTACAAAGCACTACAATAAAATCTAAAATTGAAAACAAAAACACATTAAACATTTCTTTCTGCACATCTCTTGGCTTCTAAAACGTTCTTCTGTGGTTCTGCACTGTTTCTATAAAGCTCCATATGCAGCCACATGTTTCAACATTGCCCATTCTACTACCCAAATCTCTGACATTGATAGATATGTAAAAAAATGTTAGGTATGTTTAAATATAATACGTAACATGTATTTAAATAAAATATATACATATATACTTTGAAGTCTCTGACAAAGCTTTAGTTGTGAAATAAGGAAGGATGCAGGATTGTACATCTTTTAGTTATGCTTTCCCAGTCATTAGACAGCAATTAAAATCATACATAGAAACAACATGACACAACTGTTAAATTTTCTTATGTGAAAATTGCAACAACAAATATTCTAAATAATATAGAAACATAAAAGATTGCTTAACTGATTTTAATAACATGACATAAAGCCCCTAGACTTGATATAATCGTTATGTAAAATACATAGCTGAATACTGTCTTCTTTTAAAAATATAAAATAAATAAGCAAGACATGTGAAAATAGGCAAGTTTCCATTAAATAAATGAAAATTTTTTAAAAAAGAAAGTTTTGCTTTCCATGTCATTTGAAGAAGGGAAATTATCATTTTAAACAATATTCAAGTTTATTAAACAAATAAAAAAAGTATTATAAAATGTTTAACTTTCATCGGCTTCAAGGTTTATGTTGCTCCCAAATTTTGCATACAACTGAACTTTCAAATCTGCTAACACCCGCTGAATTGATTCCACTCTGGATTCTAAGGCGTCAATTTCTTCTTGCAAATTTTTCTGGAAAAAAATAATTTACATTAATTCTATTCAATTGGATGATTTCTGAGCATCTGTGTCTGAAATAATATTTGGGAAGAATTTTAGGTCAAGAACCTTCTAAACTTGAACAGGCAGCTAAGTAACACTGATAATTAGGTCTAAATATCTGAATGTGGGCATTTTAAATTCATGGTCCATATTTGCTTATCACAGAATAAATCAAGCTTGTTTTCTCCCTTTCTGGTAATCCAAAAAAAAGTAAAAAAATAGTAATAATAATTTCTAAATTATCATTTCCTAATAAAGAAAGAAGCAAATACAAATACTTCTATAAACAGTTTATCCTGGGCCTGCTGGCTTCTAACCCAACTTTCCCAACAACAAAAATAACTATGAGACTACAGGAAATGATAGAAACTCACACCACCAACTACCAATAATTAAGAATAACAACTTACATCCAACTCTGGCAGAAATTTTCACTAACTTTGAGGCCTCTGCAGCTAAATTTTGGAAGAGAGTAGTAGGGTACCTCATTTTTAAGACAGAGCAGCTTTGCCCAATGAGACGTCCCATGTTTTCTACATATTCAAGGTGATACATGTTAATTATCTTGATTTAATTACTCCACATTATATTAATGAATTATAACAGCACATTTACCCCATACATTTATAGAATTGTAAATTGTCAATTTACAATACTAAAAAAGAAAGTACAATTCCAAAGGACAATTCTTTCTACCTACCTACCCATCTATAGATACTTAGCCTCTTCAATTATAAAACCAGTTTTGTAATCCCTCATTAATAGATGAAATAAACTTTAACATATATGCTTTGTTAAAACAAGTCATAAGTTCCTGGCTAGGATCAAAACAATTTTTTTTCCTAAACATGACAAAAAATATGAAATCATACAAACCAAATACACATTAACATTAGAAACTAAAGAATATGTAATATTGACCATGTTACTGTTTTAGAAATCTAGCCAATGGTTCTCAAAGGGTGGCCCCCAGAGCAGTATCAGGGGCAAAATCACCTGGGAACCTGTTAGAAGTACACACTCTGGGGCCCTACTTCCGGCCTCCTGAAAGAACTTCTTTGGGTTGAGCCCAGCACTCTGAATTTTTAACAAGCCCTATGGGCAACTGTGATTTTGATGCATGCTACAAGTTTGAGAATCACTGTTACAAAACAAGAAATAGAAATAGGACATATGGCTACTAGAAAGGAGATAAATTCTGAATGTCTATACTGAGAAAACCTAGTTAATCAGTAAAAGAAGACACTAGAAAGCTATTTTAATATCACAAGTCTAGTCATAACTCTCTTTTCCAAAAATCTCTGAAGGCTCCTCTTTGCTCTGGGACTGGGGTGGGCAAACTCTGTACTAGGTTCTTCAGACCAAATCTAGCCCGAAGCTTGTTTTTGTCAAGTTTTATTGGAACACAGCCATACAGATACATTCATCTTGCTTTCACAGTAATTATGGCAGAGACTGTGCAGCCCACAAAACCTAATATATTTACTTCTGGCCCTTCACACAAAGTTTGATGACCCCTGCTAAGATAAAGGGCAATTTATTCCACTCAACTGACTAGAGTTCTCCAAGACGTGGCCACAATTTCAAGTGCTCCCAAATCTCCAGCAAATACATCTTGCCGTTTTACGTCTGCACCACCATCATCCTATGGCCATTTACACATGCTGCTTCTCAGGACTAGCACACCCTCCACCCCTTTCTGGCTGACAGCCACTTATTCCTCAGCTGTTCTCTCATCACTTTCCCTGGGAGCCCTTGATGTCCAGACTAGAATAGACTCCTCTTCCTATGGTCTTAAAGCCACCTCTATCCTTATACCACTTTCTACTCATTATCAGTTTTGTTTACTTTTCTCTCTTTCCATCTAGACTATATGCTCCATGCAGGCGGGGCCCAGGCAGGTTTTGTTGTCTCCAATGATCCCTAGTACATGGCAGAACCTGATTCAGAGTAAGTATTCAATTCATTCATTCCAGAAGGAATGAATGAGTAAAAAAAATAAAGGTTCAGTATCTATCTGTGTACGGGGCAGGGGACTCACAATAGCCACAAAGACCATAAACTATTTTGGAATGCTTTCAGTAAAAATATTTTTTAAATGGTTAAATAAAAAGAACAAAATCACAAAATTTGACTAAGAGAAAAGATTTAAACATAGGGAGACTTACAACATTTCTGCATGGAAAGACACAGGAGTAAGTGACAGTTCTTCCCAAGATTTACTAAATGTGGGTTTCATTCATAGGAAGTTTTGCTTTTTATGACATTGAAGAAGACAGACTATCATTTTAAGAAATCAACTTATCAGCAAAACCATTAGGAAAGGTTTAATTGCCGTCAGCTTTCATAGGCAATGTGACCATCCCTCTCATAGTTAGAAGGCATGTGAACCAAAAATTTTCATACCATGTATCAAACGTCTCAGATATTATCAGAGAACTCATTGCTGACCCAGTCATTATACTTCTCTATTTCCTCAAAACAATTTCCTAAATGTCAACAAAGATGTATGTAGAAGAATGTTCACTGTAACATTACTACAGTGAAATATTGGAAATAAATTAATGCTCACAGTAAGATTCATGACCCCAGTTGATACCCATCAACATGATATTAAACAGTAATCAAAAATCATGTTTTTAAAAGGCCTGTGTGCCTGGCCCAGAGCAGGCTCCCAATGAGTATCTGCTGTACAAATAAACAGTAAACAAAACAAGCAAAAATGCTCCTCCTAGAACATTAACTGTCCAAACTGGGAAGCAAACTACTCTTTGGAGAGAGTCAGAAAGAACGTAAATGAAATACATAAAAATGTCACCTCTAGGTAGTAGCATTACAAAGGATTTTTCTTTTCTGCTTCAATATATGCTATGCTTTCTACACAGTTTTAGTTTTGAGCAAGGTTCTGAAGTCGGAAGACCACTGTCTATATGTCACACTGCATAAATCCTGGAACCTCTCTAAGCCTCTATTCTTTGTCCCTAAATTGGGATTAACAGGTCATTGTTAGGATTCAATAAGATCCTGCTAGCAAAGCATCAGAGCATGCGTGGGACATAACAAGGCAGTAAATGTTAACTATAGTTAGCATCCACTATGTCCCTACATCTACAATTACATGTTCTTTATAGTTATATAAATTCTAATTTCAGAATTAAGTTTGAACATACCTTTGCTTCTTCTAACATTTCTTGTGTTTCTTCTTGAGAATGGCTAATGAAAACATCACCAATCTGATAAGGTATCATTAAGCAGTCATCATCTGCAAGCATGATGTCATCACAAGCATCTTCTAGGTTTTGCAGTTGTTTCTATAAATGCAAAATGGCATAGAAAAATGTATTCAAAATTCTCTGATAGAAGCTAAAGGCCAATTGTAATCTGGGGACAGCAACTCTCTGAGGGACCCCCTCACAAAGGTATTACCACATTAGAATAAGACTAATTTGTAACGTTTTAGATAACACTTCACAGGTAAGCAGTTAGAGCTAACACACTGTCCTCTGAAATTTTCAGATTGCTATAAGCACCCTGTGGTGGTGGACAGCAGGCACCCACGGTCACTTAAAATTTCTTCTTCTTTTTTTTTTTTTTTTTTTTGAGATGGAGTTTCGCTCTGTTACCCAGGCTGGAGTGCAATGGCGCGATCTCGGCTCATCGCAACCTCCGCCTCCTGGGTTCAGGCAATTCTCCTGCCTCAGCCTCCTGAGTAGCTGGGATTACAGGCACGCGCCACCATCCCCAGCTAATTTTTTGTATTTTTAGTAGAGACGGGTTTCACCATGTTGACCAGGATGGTCTCGATCTCTTGATCTCATGATCCACCCGCCTCGGCCTCCCAAAGTAAAATTTCTTCTGTTTTAACAATTTTCAACTTTGTGAATTCTGCCTTCCTACAAAAAACAAACAAAAACCCAACATACATTTCTCAGCCTTGCTTGCTGATAGGGAGTAAGTAAATCATACTGGTAATGAAGGCTCTGCCAGCATGTGTAAGTGATAATAAATTCCACCAATCAAATGCACTTGAGCTGGATTTTAATTCAAGGGAGACAGGCTGGACACAGGCCCCAGATTGACAGAGGTAGTTGGCAGTGGCTGCAGTAGCTTGGTGTTTCTAGGTCTGCAAGGGTGGCTTCCTCATTGGGAAGATAGCTAACTCTGGGATCAGTGGAGGCAACAGCTGTTCCATCGCCAGCCAAGTTCTCCAAGGCTTGTTCCTGGAACCTCAGTCTAGACTCAAGCGCCTCAACAATACGTTATCTCGTATCCCTTTAAAAAAAAAAAAAGACTATCTGCTTAACCAGAGTGGACTGCATCATCTGCAACAAACAGCCCAGAGAAAGATACTTGTTAACTTAGTTCAGTTTTAAGTAGCTACAGTATAAAAATTTTTTATTCTTCTAATAATTATTTTCAATACCTTTTTTACTTCTATTTCCTCCTTTAGCTCTGTGATTCTACTTGTATTCCGTGCAAATTTGTTTATCTTTTGTTGATCTTCGAAAGTAACATTGACATCTTCTGCAGCCTGAAAAAAGTTTTTAAGTTTTTGTAAAATGTTAATGGAGAAGCTGTCAGTTAGCTTTTTATATTTCTCAACAATAACTCAATAAACAATATGTGCACTCATATAGTCAAGAATCACAAGAAGTTCTTACAGAACATAACAAATGCCTTATTTTTTGCTCCACAAGCTTAAGGTTGTTCATAAATCTATAACCTTTTCTGATACTCTACAAAATAATTCCTATGCTATAAGAATATTGCAAATATAAAGAACAATTAATAAGTTCTTTAAAAAGAATAAAAGAAAGCCAACTTTTGGCCCAGAGCAGAATTTCTCAAGTTGGAGCATTATTCTATTAAGATAACCCAGGAAACAAAAAGTGATGTGTCAAATATATTGGTAAATGCCTCATAGTAGTGTTTTTTTGTTTGTTTGTTTGTTGCCTAAAGCCAAAACTTGCATGAGCTTAGTGTGGTAATAAAAATCTGATGGTTTCTACGGTATTTAAAACAAACGAGATACTGGCTGAAGGGTCACTGTATATTTCAGTAGCTACATTCCATTCATAGCAAAAATTATGTTAATGATGTAGGACCTGTTTAAATGTCTTAATAAGGTCTACTTCACTAAAACATGATAAAAACTGAATGTTTAGTATTTAAAAATTAATACCTAATGCAATTAAATTTACAAATTTGCAAATAAAGAGTACTTGGATAACCTAATACCCATGAAATTTAATTAATAGCTAACACTGATGGAGAGTTTACTATGTGCCAAAACTTCCTCAGTACTTTCTCATCTCTGCTAATCCTCCATTTCAGCCTAGTAAGGAGGATCACCAGTACTATTTTACAGATTGAGAAACTAAGGCAAACTTTATATAACATGCCCAAAGCCACATAGTCAGTAGGTGGTGGAGCTTGATTTCAACCCGGCAGACTGGCTGCAGAGGTCAGACAGGTCCATGAGTCCTGGGAAACTGAGTGTGAATGTGCGTCTGTGTGTGCGTGTACATGTGTGTTAGTGTGCACATAGGCTTAGGCACATTTGGAAGAGGCAGCAGGAAGTCTGCTTTCATCAGATTCTCAAGGAGGTACTATATATTTTTTAAAAAATAAAGCTAGAAAATAAAACCAGACTCTCCTTAAGGTTTCCCCTCCATTTATAAAGTGAGAATCCGAGCACCTGATTCTAGTTGAAAGGCGGAAAGACATGTGTATGTGTATGAAAATAGTTCTCACTGAAGAACTGTTTTTGGCTCTTTTGCAATAACAGTCATGAGCTCACAACATCCACACACCATCCCTGACCTGGTCTCTTGTGACCATTGACTTAAGATATGTGAACTTTTATTTCTGAGGTTGAAAGGCGGTATCAATCAACACAGAGCTCAGTGGTCGAAATAGAACACAGCTCTCCCCTTTGTCAGGCTCTCATTCCAATAAACAATTTCACATGCATTACGCCCCACCTCGGCAACACAGAAGATAGCCTGAAAAAAATCCTTTACATCACACTATGTATAGCTTTGAGTGTTCAACCAGATGCATAATTTTGATGAATATGGAAGTTGGGGAACACTGAGCTACACTAAAGAAACCAAAGTATATCTCTGGGCACACAAGTCATTCGCCAAAGTGAGAACTGTCAATTCCCTAAGCAAATAGACAGCAGAGAATTCTAAAGAGTTCCTGTTTGCCTGAAGAGTATATGCCATTTTGTTTAAATACTGAACCCCTGAAAACCTTAACAGGTATTTATGGATCCATGTGTCCTAGTGAGGGCTCGACAGCCATTCACATGAACGGATCCAGTGCAGGACCGCCTGGCACATAACTGAAGCTAATACATGGTTTCTGAATTTGAATCTCAATCATGCTTGATCAGACTCAAACACTCAGTTTCCAAAATGTGGTAGAGAGAATTTGGCTACGCTTTCTGTCTTTCCAAAGCAGGAATTACCTGTTGGAGCCCCACCAAACCACAGCCACCAGCACCTACTTGGTCCCTGGTATCTGGTTCTTTATGGTGATTTTCCCACTGGGGTAAAGGGCTAAAGTTGATGTGTGAGTCTAATATGCTACACGCCGCCCAGTGGACCACTGTTTACAGCAGAAAGTAAGAGGTCAGTGCCTCTGATGCCTAACTGTCCTAGATCATTCCTACATTTCTTGAAGCTGCATTATGGCAAGAAGTGGGCTTTTTTTTTTTGAGACAGTCTCACCGTCGCCCAGGCTGAAGTGCCGCAGAGCAATCTCGGCTCACTGCAACCTCCACCTCCTGGGTTCAAGCCATTTTCCTGCCTCAGCCTCCAAGTAGCTGAGATTACAGGTACGTACCACCACGCCTAGCTAATTTTTGTATTTTTAGTTGGTGGGGGGAGGGTTTCACCATGTTAGCCAGGCTGGTCTCAAACTCCTAACAGATGATACACCTGCCTCGGCCTCCCAAAGTGCTGGGATTACAGCCATGAACCACCATGCCCAGCCAGAAGTGGGTAATTCTTGTTTGAGGCTGGAGTGTAGTGGTGCGATCTTGGCTCACTGCAATCTCTACCTCCCAGGTTCAAGCAATTCTCCACCTCAACCTCCCAAGCAGCTGTGACTACAGGCGCCTGCCACCATGCCTGACTAATTTTTGTATTTTTAGTAGAGATGGGGTTTCACCATCTTGGCCAGGCTGGTCTTGAATTTCTGACCCCATGATCCACCTGTCTCGGCCTCCCAAAGTGCTGGGATTACAGGTATAAGCCATTGCGCCCAGCCTAAGTGATTTGTTCCTTAACAAGTGCCCTCAGTGATTCTGATGTATGCTCAAGTTTAAGAACTATCAGGCCTTTGAGTTAAGTCTCCTTCCATGTATATGCTAGATTGACATAAAAATGGCATGAGCCACTGCACCCAGCCTAGAAGTGGGTAATTCTTAACCGGGGCGGGGGGGAGGTCAGTGGACACTGAGAGGGCAATTTACCCTGAGACTGTATGCAAAATGGCATGAATAGTATGTGCCTTCTTCTGGAAAGTCTTCTAGCTTTCACCAGATTCTCAAAGGGACGAATCCACAAGCCCAAAAGATTAGTAACTCCTGCCTTCAGGGAAACCAGAGGTAGCTACTCTTAAAAGTCATAAGAAGTCTAGGAAGAACTCATATCCTGTAGTATCGGAGGCAGCACACAGAGTGGTGGAAAGAGTCAGACTAGAATCCAATCCAAGCAAACAGGAACCTTGGGCAAATTACCCAATTCTCTGAAACCACCTGAGGTTTCCCATCTACGAAATGGAGAAGCTCGTTCCTTCCTTATAGGGTTGATAAAATGAATACCTAGGAGAAAGTCAGTTTTCAATAAATGATAGCTAAGCATTTTATTTCCTGAATACTGTTTATAAAAAATCATTACAAAGAACAGATCCAGATCTAGAAGAAAGTTCTGCTAGGCCAAAGAGAAATACGCAGGCTCAAGATCCAAGGTAAAAATTAAAATTCCCTGGGCTATTTTCTCTTTTTTTTTTTTGAGATGGAGTTTCACTGTTGTTACCCAGACTGGACTGCAATGGTACGATCTCTGCTCACCGCAACCTCCGTCTCCTGGGTTCAAGCAATTCTCCTGCCTCAGCCTCCCGAGTAGGTGGGACTACAGGTGCGCACCATCATGCCCAGCTAATTTTTGTATTTTTAGTAGAGACGGGGTTTCACCTTGTTGATCAGGATGGTTTCGATCTCTTGACCTCTTGATCCACCCGCCTCGGCCTCCAAAAGTGCTGGGATTATAGGCGTGAGCCACCGCGGCCGACCTTTTTCTTGAGAATAAATATCTTCTGGTATTAGAGGATTTGAAAACTGAACCATACTCAGTAATGCCCCATGCCAAGTCTAGGTATTACTTGGAGTCTGAACTGACAGCTGGGTCCCTAGAAATCAATTCTGGTCAATTTCAGTCTTGTATTTTTACTTTTAAAAACATATCTACCAAGTCTGTATGATATAAACTTTTGCACCTTTCATCCATGGAGTCGCTCATTTAACAATATTGTTTCCTACATGCCATGCACTGACAAGAGAGCCACTACCCCACCTTCATGAACACAAATGGTAAGCATACGTCCTGGTGGAGGAAGACAGCAAAAACCAAGATGAACAAGATAGTGTCCAATAGTGACAAATAAAACAGCTTAGTAGTAGAAAGTTCTTGGAGCCTGGGGCGGGAAGGAGGCTTCTTTAGATAAAGGTCAAAGGTAGCCTCTCTGAGGAATATTTGCATGTAGGATAATGAACAGAAATCATAAAAGTACAGATCACCTTATACTCAAGAACTAGATCTTAGAAGGCAGAACTTTAGAGATGAGAGGACTGAATCATCTCATCTAAACACTCCCCCCCGCAAAGTCATGACCAGTTGAGAGGTACAATGTGTTACAAATATAAGTACTCCGGATTGTACATGATTTACTTTTAATTAAACTCAAAGGGCTATCTCTCTCTGCTTCACTCTCACTCACTGGCATACATGTGTGTTTTTTCCTAGTGAGGGCAAAGGGGCAAAGTATACATGTAAGCTAATCTATCAGGAATTGTTCATAAACAATGGAAACATCTACAGGACACTGCATCCATCATATGACTCTCAAAGGCTCCAAAGATACAGAAGATCCTTTATATTTTGGCCACCACCTACCCCTCTATAAGTTCATTTCCCATCATGGCTCAAACACTTTTCCCCTGATTATCTGCCATCTGGCCTTCCTTGTATTAAATGCATGCTCAGAGTCTTTGCACGAGAATCTCCCTCTCTAGAATGCCTCACTCCCTAACCAACTTTCCCTTCCTTTCCTTACATAATCTCACAGATCTCAACTTAAATGACTCTTTCCCGGAAAGCCTTCTCTGATCTCAAAACAGACCTCACTTTGGCCCTCAGTTCGTTAAATACTTTTCCTTCACAGTTCTCATCAGAGAAAATTTTCTGTGTGATTTGAGTAATGCCTGCCTCTCCCCTGGAACATACATTCTTCGGTACAATGAGAATAAGGGGAGAAGAACTTCCTCACTGGTCGATCCATAGTTGTCTCCACTTAAAACTGAGACTACACCATCCATGTTATATGCTCAAAAAAATTCTACTGAATCAATGAAAGGGGTAAAGAAAAGGTTGGTAATTAAAAATTTTGCAATCAAAATCCGGGCTTCAAATCATTCTTCTGCCATTTCCTCTTGTACCATTTACTTCACTTCTCTGCACTTCAGTTTCCACACCTATAAAACCGCGTGAACCACAACTAGTATCTTCCAAGAAATCAGAGGCCATATCTAACACCAGCGGGCCCAATTTAACAAATAAAGTTTCTCACAAAGAGAAATCTCACAAAGTTTCACGCTTTTTTGAATCACCATGGCCGTGGACCCTACTCTGGTACTCAGTAAGATTTTCTGGGTGGCAGAATAGTAAGGTGAGTAACTCATCCTGAGTTGACTGGGGTTTTCCCAGTTTAGGCCGTCCCTCAATTTCAGATAAAAGGGTTCAGTGGGTCACCGTATACCAGGCACGGATGGCACAGACTATGTGGTACTGGATAGGGGCAAGGCAAAGAAAGTTCTAATGTGGTCTTAAAAGTGGAATGAACGCAAATCCGTCCAGCCAAGGGATTCTCATCGAAGATCCCTTACAGCAGTCAAAAAACAGAGTCAGAATGCCTGTGGTTTACATGCTAGCTTTGCCTCCGTGCCTGTTTTCTCATTTGTTAAATAAGGATAAAAACAGTATCTCCCCCAAAAGTGCATAAGATAAACTATACATGCAAAAAAAAAAAAAAAAAAACCTTACAGCTGTACCTAGCAAACTGTAAAGATCCCCAAATTAACAGCCTATTTCCGTCCCCCTCTCCAATTTTCTTTTTATTCTCTCTAGCCATCTTTACACATCTGGGAAGATTCAAGGAATTATAAACCCCACATGGAAGTTTAGCCTGCTTAGTGTTTACCTAGGTGTGGTAAAACAAAACCAAACCTGAGTTTGAACTCCAGCTCTGCTTCTTACTAGCTGAGTCACTCTGGGGGCCCTAACTGCTCTGTGCCTAAGTTTCTCTACTTGCAAAGTGGAGAGGAACCCATACACCTGCTGAGTTGCGGGAAGGATACAGATAAACGGCCAGCTGCTGGGCCCGGCACATCGTCCATCCTCAATAAATACTGGTTTTAGCCTGGAGGAGGCAGGGGCATCGAGGATGGATACAAGTCAGCTCGGGGTTGCAGGAACCTGTTCTCCCACTTACGAGCTGCGTAACCTGGCGCAGGTTACTCCGCATCTCTGGGCCTCAGTTTCCTCACTCATAAACACGGTCCTAGCAGTAGCTACCCATGACCCGTAAGGCTAATGTGATAATCCCGATGCAGCGCCCGAGTCAAGGCCAACCACACTCAACGGGACATTCAGCTTCCCACACCCCAGGGGCGAGGCTGGGGCTGCAGGTTCCTCAGACTCCCCGGGGGCATCTTCGGCACCGGGGAAGGAGACCCTGCGCCCTCCAAGGCTCCCGGCCCTAGCCCCGGAGCCCCGCCTCGGCCGGCCAGGTGCCTAGGAAAATGCTCAGGGAGCCAGCAGGCAGGCCTCGCCGCGGGGCTGATCTCAGGGCCTCGGCCTCGGCCTTGGGCCCCACGCCAGGCTTCGGAGCTGAGCACCCCCAACATGCCGCGTCCGAGCCCCGACTGCTGAGCTTCGGCGCCGCCCAAACATCCAGCGCCCCGAGCGCCCCACTCACCGCCTTCTTCATGGTGGCCGCCATCTTGGGACTGGACTACGGCACGTGGCGGGGAGGGCCGCAATGGCGCGCTTCGCCCCCGAGCGCTCTCTCGCTCCCGGTAGAGCCAGAACTCCCCGCAAAAATACAACACTACCTCCACATTCCTTCCTCTTGGACTTTTGGCCAATGATTCCAAATGGCTGGGATGCAGGGAGGAAATGTGACCTTGAAGGACTTGGTACATACCAATTAAAGGGACAGGCAACCCCCGTGGACTGATAAACACGGGGGTGTGGCGAACGGCTCCGGCCGGGCAGCAGGGGGCGCGCCAGAGGCTCAGAGAGGCGGGACCCGGCTGGGGCGGGATCAGAGGGGAGGGAAGGGAAATTTTTCTCCATCCGTCCCACAGACTTGCACTGAGAAATTGACCTACCTGTAAAAGAGCTAGGAACGAATGCCCTTGGCAAATAGGGTGTGAGATTTATGTGCCCTAATAATTCAAGTGGCGTAAAGGAGGAGGCACTCCTATTTTTTAATAAAATTTTTTTAAAAGTTAGATTCAGGGGGTATGTGTGCAGGTTTATTATACGGTTATATTGCATGATGCTAAGGTTTGGATTTCTAATGATTCCGGTGTCCAAGTAGTGAACATAGTACCTCACAGGTAATTTTTCAAACCTTTTCCCCTCCCTCCTTCCCCGTTTTTGGAATCCCTAGCATTTATCATTCCTATCTGTATGTCCATGAGTACCCAGTGTTCAGCTCTCACTCGTAAGTGGGAATATGAGCGGTTGGTTTTCTGTTTCTGTGTTAATTTGCTTAGCATAATGGTCTCCAGCTGCATCCATGCTGCCGGAAAGGACATGACTTTGTTCTTACATTTTCTTTATTCTCTCCACCACAGATGGGCACCTGGGTTTATTCCATGCCTTTGCTATTATGAATAGACAGTCTTACTAATTGATTTGCAGCAATATTACTGAACAGTTACTGTATATTCTGATAACTGTCTCCCAATTATTAATTTTTTTTCCTCAGGACCTCTTCATGCTCCTAGAAATTACTGAGGACTCCAAATAACTTGTTTATATAAGTTATTTATTGATATTTACTGTATTAGAAATTCAAACTGAATGTTTTAAATGTATATATTAATTCATTTAAAATAATATAAAAATCCATTCCATGGTAATAAAAATCATACTTTAAAAATAACTATATTTTCTGAGACAAAAAGAAACTGAGAAGATTGTCATCATTTTACATTTTCACTCATCTCTTTAATATCAGGCTTAATGGAAGGGTCAATTCTCATGTCTACTTCTGCATTCGGTCATTCCAAATAGTTATCTAGTCGTAGGTATGACAAACTCCAGCCTCACACAAATAATGCAGTTGGGAAAGGGAGGCCCTTATGGGTCCTGAAAAGGTCTCAGGGACCCCCAAGTTTCATGGGCCACAGCTTGAGAACTGCCCCCTGACAAGCCTTCTTCTTTCTCAAAGTCTCAATGTCCTTTTTGTTTAAATGAGGGAGATGAAACCTTATAGTGCCCTGTGCTCTTTTTACCCATCCACCTTGCCCCCCCACACCATGGCCATCACCCACTCTCCTGCCAATTCTGGCCTCACCAGACCGTTAGTATCGGGACTTTCCAGTGTGTAGCTCATATGTGCTTAAAAAGTATTTGATGAATAAAGATGTGGATCACGAGGTCAAGAGATCAAGACCATCCTGGTCAAAAAGGTGAAACCCCGTCTCTACTAAAAATACAAAAATTAGCTAGGCATGGTGGTGCACGCCTGTAGTCCCAGCTACTCTGGAGGCTGAGGCAGGAGAATTGCTTGAACCCAGAAGGCAGAGATCGTGCCATTGCACTCCAGTCTGGGTAACAACAGCGAAACTCCATCAAAAAAAAAAGATGTTTTTCCAGGGTTAACTCTTAGCACAGGGTCTGTCACATAAGAGATGCTCCATCAGTGACATGTTTATTCCAGAGCTTAATGTAAAAAAAATTGCAAGAAACAAATGGTGGAGAGGGTGACAGACATAAAGGGCAAAATTGTCACAAATGGTACCATGTGCATGAAGGAGATAAATGGGGTGCTGAGGCAGAGCACAGAGGGGAGGGGCTGGCTCTGGATCTGGTCTCTAAGCTAAAAGAGAGTAATAGGGGGCCCCAGCACAGGGAGAAGAGATGAAAGTGGACCCCAGGGATAGAGGGCTGAGAGGGAAAAAGCCTGGTGAGACATGGTAGAAAGGGAAGAGCAGCATGGAGCAAGGCTGGGGTGTAAGGCAGGGGCCAGATCTGGGCGTGCTTTAGACCTTGGTGAGGCCACACCAGGGGAAGGAGAGAGAGAGAAAGAAAAAATTCGGATTTTTTAAAACTTTTATTGAGAAATGGCTGAGTTGAAAGGTGAGGAACAATAGTGCATGAATTTTGAGGAAATGTAATTATATGGTGAGGAGTGAACGCAGCAGAGGGGGTTTCAGAGACAGAAGCACTTCTGTCCTCATATTCATAGCTCTTAGGACCAGAAGGGACCGTAAACCTTCGTCTACGCTAACCTTTGCCTTTCACTGATAATATAATCATAATAATAGTTGTTATGCTTGGCTGTGTTCCCACCCAAATCTCGTCTTGGATGGTAGCTCCCATAATTTCCATGTGTTGTGGGAGGCACCTGGTGGGAGATAATTGAATCATGGAGGCGGTTGCCTCTATACTGTTCTCATGGTAGTGAATAAGTCTCATGAGATCCGATGGTTTTATGAGGGGTTTCCCCCTTCACTTGTCTCATTCTCTCCTGTCTGCCACCATGTAAGATGTGCCTTTTGCCTTCTGCCAAGATTGTGAGGCCTCCCCAGCCATGTGGAACTGTGAGTCCATTAGACCTCTTTTTCTTTATAAATTACCCAGTCTTGAGTATGTCTTTATCAGCAATGTGGAAATAAATCAATGCAATAGCAATAGTAACATAAAACCGACAGGGTACATATTCTGTGGCTTGCACCTTGCTAAATGTTTCAATCCTTACCATTCCACACAATATTGTTGTCGACCTTTTTACAGGAGAGGAAATAGAGTCTCAGCAGGACAAAATTACTTGGCCAAGGCTACAGCAGCCAGGAAATTCCAGAGCCTGGATTTGAACTCTGATGAACCTGGCCCCAGAAACCACTCTCCTAAGCACCAGACTTTACTCATCACTACAAGTTAAGTATAAAGTCAGATGTGTCCCAGAGAGGGCAGTTCATAGTGGAGATTGGAGCTCCTGTCACCTGACTTGCATGAGCAAAGTGTTTAAGACTAATAAAGTGCGTGCTGGAGCCAGACTGCCTGGGTTCAAATCATACCTCCACCACTTTCTACTTTTGATGTTGGACAAGTTACTTTCACGGTAAAAATAATAAGGTCTGTCTAACAGGGTTGTTGCAAAGAGTAGAAGCAATAATACATGCAAATAAAATGCACTGCAAGCTCTCAGGAAATGTTAGCTATGATTACTTTCTCAGTTCAGCCCAGTTGCCTCTGAAATTCCTCTGCCCAAGTTACGATCTTTCAAATCTCCTCTTAAAGAACTCCCCTGGCTCAGTATTACGGCTAACTACCCCCATGGCCGCTAGTAGCGCTGCCTTTTGAGACTGTAGCATTCATTTCAGACATGTAGAAATTGGAAAGCATCCTGGGGGAGAAGAATGACAGTGGTTAGAAGTCATCCTAGCTGGAATTTTTAAATCAGGGCCCAAAGCAAAGGATTTGGATATGCTTCTTCATTAAATACCATCCCAGGGCAGCCAGAGCAAGCAAAAAGCAGAATGAAGCAGGACAGGGAAGGCAGCAGAGCCAAAAGCAGGAGGCCTCACCAAGCTGACCTTTGCTTGGTATCAAGCATGACTGGTTGCTCCCTCTCTGGGGACTGTCCTGTAAGAAGCTGTGTTAACCAGGACGCAGGAGAGTTCAGCCAGGGAGAGCTCTTATCTGCCGGTTCCTGCCTCCCATTCAAAAGCTGGCCCCACAGGGACCTAACTCCCAGATACTTCCAGGTTGCTCATTGAGGTTCCCATAATGTTCTCACCTCAACCTTCCACAGGGAAGCCCCCAGGGGGAGGAACAAGGCATAAGGCTGTAAGCACAAGGCACCAGAGCCTGAGGCAGCCCTGCTTGGTTCTGCACACCTCAATTCCGCACACCATGGCTGGCGTGGAGCCAGCCACTGCGGGGGCTGCTGGGGTGGAGGAAGTGGCCAAAGGCAGGTGAAGATGAAGACAGGTTCAACCAAGAGGCTTTAATGTGATACATCCTTAGGTGCCATCTGACATAGAGGCCCATAAAATCAGCTAAAATTTCAGGTTATGACATACTGAAGGGTCATCGAATCAAATTCCTTTAGGACTTGAAAATTACAATGGACAAACTGCAGAATGAGAGAAAATATTTGCAAGATAAATATTTAACTTAATATTTAAGAAATAAGGCAAGAAAAAGGAGATTAACAGCCAAAGTATATGAGAAGCTCAAACAACTCAATAGGAAAAAAAAATCTAATAATCCGTTTAAAAATGGGCAAAAGATCTGAATAGACATTCTTCGAAAGCAGACGTGCAAATGGCAAACGAAGAAAAGGTGCTCAGCATCACTGAACGTCAGAGAAATGCAAATCCAAACTACAATGCGGTATCAGCTCATCACAGCTAAAAATTGCTTTTATCCAAAAGACAGAAAATAACAAATGCCGGAGAGCATGTGGAGAAAAGGGAACCCTGATACACTGTTGGTGGGAATGTAAATTAGTACAACCACTATGAAAAACAGTACAGAGCTTCCTCAAAAAACTGAATATGGAGCTACCGCATAATCCAGCAGTCCCACTGCTAGGTATATAACCCCCATTAAGGAAATCAATATATCAAAGAGAAGCACTCTTTGTTTATTGCAGCCCTATTCACAACAGCCAAGATTCAGAAGCAACCTAAATGTCCATCCACAGATGAATGGATGAAGAGTTGGTGGGAGTGTAAATTAGTTCAACCACTGTGGAAGACTGTGGCAATTCCTCAAGGATCTGGAACCAGAAATACCATTTGACCCAGCAATCCCATCACTGGGTATATACCCAAAGAATTATAAATCATTCTACTGTAAAGACACATGCACATGTATGTTTATTGCAGCACTGTTTACAATAGCAAAGACTTGGAACCAACTCAGATGCCCATCAACGATAGACTGGATAAAGAAAATGTGGCACATATACACCATGGAATACTATGCAGCCATACAAAAGAATGAGTTCTCGTCCTTTTCAGGGACGTGGGTGAAGCTGGAAGCCATCATTCTCAGCAAACTAACACGGGAACAGAAAAACAAACACCACATGTTGTCACTCATTAGTGGGAACTGAACAATGAGAACACATGGACACGGGGGGGGGGAACAACACACATTGGGGCCTGTCAAGGGGTGGGGGCCAAGGAGAGGGAGAGCATTAGGAGAAATACCTAATGTAGATGACAGGGTGATGGATGCAGCAAACCACTTTAGCACGTGTACACCTATGTAACAAACCTGCATGATCTGCACATGTACCCAGAACTTAAAGTATAATAATAAAATTTAAAACCAAAAAAATTTGTTCTAAATTTTATTATTACACTTAAAGAAGATGGGTTGATAGGTACAGCAAACCACTATGGCACATGTATACCTACGTAACAAACCTGCACGTTCTGCACATGTATCCCAGAACTTAAAGTAAAATAAAAAGAAAATGTGGCACCTATACACAATGGAGTACTATTTGGCCATAAAAAAAGAATAAGAGCTTGTCATTTGCTATAACATGGTTAAAACTGGAGGATATTATGTTAAGGCACAAAAAGGCAGACGTTGCATGTTCTCACTGATTTGTGGGAACTAAAAATCTTAAAACAACTGAACTCATGGAAATGGAGAACAGGATGGTTACCAGAGGCTGAAAGGGTAGTAGGGGAGGGGGACGTGGAATGGTTGATGGATACGAAAATACAGTTATATAAATGAGATCTAGTGTTTGATTGCACAACAGGGTGACTACAGTCAATCATAATTTATTATACATTTTAAATTACTGAAAGAGTGTAACCGAGTTGTTTGTAACACAAAAGATAAATATCTGAGGTGGTGGATGCACCATTTACCCTGACGTGATCACTGCACATTGTAAGCCCATATCAAAAGAACTCACATACCCCGTAAATATTTACGCCTACTATGTACCCACAAAATTACAAATAAATACATGAATGTCAATAATAATAAAATCAGATTGGTCCAATTGCTAATACATGTGCCACTGAGAAACCCTGAGGAGCCTGCCTCATGCAGGGCTCACTCATTCATCACCACGCCTCCTTAACGTCCAAGGGCCTCGTTAACTAGTCATTGAGCTGGGAGATTGCACCAGGAGACATGGGCTCCAGAGGCAGCAGGGCTAGGGGGCATTGTCTCCTCTAACAGATGATGTGGAGGTAGGGGATGACTGGGCTGGATCCGCAGCTCAGAGAAGCCATGGCTCCAATCAGATGCTCTCTGAGTCTTTGTCTATTCCATCACTATCACGAGATGCTGGACACTTCTCCCAGTATTAGTTCCCCACACAGGCCTTGCAAAAACAGAGAGAAAAGGCACTAGGCAGAGAGTCTCTGGGCTCAGGGCAGTGCCACTGAATCTGGACAGAGGACAATGGTGACTCCCGGCAGTCTTGCTGCTGACTCAGCTCCTTCTGAAGCCCCTGGCTTCCCCTTGCTTTAGAGGCTTTCGTTGTCATTCTGTTTCTCACCATTCCTGTCCCTCTCCTCTCCCCTGACCTTGCTGTCCTTTGAGCTAATCTCTCTCCTAGCATAAAAACTAGTTCTGCATGTCTGCGTGGCAAAGGGATTTTCAAGTCTTCTGCTGAGCATCTTCTCATTTCCTGATGCAGAGCATTTCCGACATTTGTTTCTGGTCCTTTCTCCAGCTGGGGACTATCCATGGCTCTCTGGGGAGAAGTGTGGGGTACAAGTGGAAGCATATGGTCAGGGAGAAGAATCAACGATGAGCATTTGAAAAGACATTCCCTTATGCTGGGTTGAAAACTGGCCACCCACTGACTGGATCCAAGCTATGTTTTCTTTGACCCATATGGTATTTGTCTTTAACAGAACAAATATTTGAGATTTTTAGTTTTTCTTGAGCTAGTAAAATCAGAGTCCTGGCGACATTGCACCTGTGTTTCTGCATGATGGCAGCTGCTGGTGCCACTTTGGACTGGCACATTCAGCCAGCAGGCTTTCTCCTAGGTCCAGCAGACTTCCACTCACAGAGCACACACAGGTACATGCAGAGCACCTGCCCATTTGTGCACTCACCTGTCAGGCCCTCCAGGTCTATGAACTTGTAATCCCCAGCCCTCTGTTCTAACATACCTAAATGAGAGCATTTGGGTATGTGTCTGTTTGAAATTTGTACCATGCTAGATGCTATTGTGAGTAGAAAAATAAAGCAGACAAGGTGTTTGGCATCATGAAGCTTATGGATGGCAAACAAACCACCAACCAAAATCATAGCACCAGACACTGCAGCCCTGGGATGAGTTTGCGGAAGAAAGAGCTCGAATCTGGCAGGAGTGGTCCCTGAGGACTGTGGCATGTTGATTAGACCAAGAAGGGCAGGTGCCCAGCACTGAGGGTTTAACACTGAGAAAAACAGACAAAACCCTTTGTCCTCCTGTGGCTTACATTCTATGGATAGAAAAAAATATCATAACCAAAATATATAAGTAAATGATGCAGGAAGTTACAAAGTATTATTAATATAAATCCTATCTATAGCTCCAATAAGAACTCATACAGTTATAATAAAAGACTGTGCAATTACCATCATGAACACCTATGAAGAAGATATAAAAACAGAAATGGTATGTTGACTGAAAACTATGAGAATAAAAAAACAAAACCTATTTGAATTGGTATGTAAGCTACAAAATTGTCCAGACATGTCCCAGTTTAATTTAGATTTTGTCACAGAGCAATAAAGAGGTTATCAGATCATTTCCCGGAATTACACGCCTGGGTGCCCTCCAGAACCTGCAACACCTGCTCCAGGCTCCTGGTTCTAAGATTTAAAAAGGAAACTTTGATCATATTCCCCTTCCACACTGGCCATGAGGACGGAGGGGCAAAAAAGAGCAAACCCCCAGAACCACACGGCAATTTGGTTTGGCGCCTGCAGAGGGCACCCGAGGAACATGACACTATTCCCAGACTCATTCAAGTCCACCTTCCGGATATTTTGCACTTCTTTTGATACTTATTGTGCTGGATAATGTAAAGTATTTCCAGTTTGTATTTAGCTAAACAATTTTGCAAATGGTTTTTCCATAACTCTGTGTGAAACGTTTCATTGTCTGCCCATTGCACTTAAATTTCTTACCAGGGCCTAGCCTCCCTCCCTGACCTTGTTTTGTACCATCTTTCCCCTCACTCACTGTGCTCCACTCCCTTGGGCCTCCATCCTGTGAATGCTACACACTCCCTCCGGCCTCAGGGCCTTTGTATGTGCTTTTCCTGCTGCCTACGATGCCTTTTTCCTATTGTTCACCCAGCTACATTCTAACCATCCTCAAGACTCAGCGTCTATGTTACTCCATCTAGGAAGCTACTGTGATCTGAATGTATCCTCCAGAATTCACATGTTGATGTAATGGCCAACATGGTTGTATTATGAGGTGGGGACCTTTAAGTCTCAGGATAGAACCCTCAAGAGTGGGGTTGTGTCCTTTCTAGAAGGGCTTGAGGGAATGGGTTTTTGTTGGTCCATTCTCCCATTACTATAAAGAATGCACAAGTCTGGGTAATTTAAAAAAGAAAGAGGTTTAATTGACTCACAGTTTTGCATGGCTGGGGTGACCTCAGGAAACTTATAATCATGATGGGAAGCAAAGGGAAAGCAAAGCACCTTCTTCACAGGGCAGCAAGGGGGAGAATGAATGCAGGAAGAACAACCAAACACTTATAAAACCATCAGATCTCGTGAGAACTCACTCGCTATCACGAGAACAGAGGAGGAGAAACCACCCCCATGATTCACTTACCTCCACCTGGTTTTTCCCTTGACACATGGGGATTATGGGGATTACAATTCAAGATGAGATTTTGAGTGAGGACATAGCCCAACCGTATCAGGGTTCATTCTCTTCTGCTCTTCTACCATGTCAGGACATAGCATTCTGCCCTGCAGAGCACATAGCAACAAGTTGGCATCTTAGAAGGAGAAACTGAACCTCTCACCAGCCACCAAACCTACAGGTGTCTTGATCTTGGATTTCCCAGCTTCCAGAATTGTCAGGAATACATTTCTATTGTTTATAAATCATCCAGACTCAGGACTTCAGTTGTAGCAGCATAGACAGACTGAGACACAAACTTTCCTTAAACACGCCCATCTCCCAGACAAGAGCAGCATCCCCGACCCCTAAAGCAGCTTTCTGCGCCTTCCTGGTACATCCCCTTTTGCATTCTATGTCCCTGTTCAACTGAGAGCACCAAGGGATATAAACCATGCCTGCTTTCTTCATCTCTGTAGTTGCAGCACCAATGGGGAAGTAGGTGCTTAACGTATGGTAACTAATGAATAAATCAGTGCATGAATAAATGAGTGACTATGTATTTCGAGATTACTACAGTAATATATAATACAACAGAAGCTTTTGAGGAATTCGCTCCACTGCAATGTACGAGAGTCCATAACTTATTGCATTCTATTTGTTTGGTTCTGTTTTTTTGGCTAGGTCTAGTACCCACACGCACCGTGATCATGGGACTCCCTCCTTTCTTCGCCAGATGTCACTGTGGGTCCAGAATCTGGCATGTGATTTTTCTCTCTGCAACCCCTGAAGAATTGGCTACACATTGCAAAGCAAGATGACACAAAACCCAGGAAACCACTCTCTTTGGGGCAAAATAAAATCATCTTTTGCTAGTTTGAATCCTTAATCGAATTTTTACCTGGCAAAAAGCATAGCATTTTAAAAAGCCCTTCATTGTACACATTGGTTTTAGACCGTTATAAAACAAACCACTAGTTAACTTGTTTATTTCCAGGGTACCTGCTTATAACAACTTTGAGATTGAGAAAGGAGTCAGTGCTTGTTATAAGTAGCAGTTATAGAACATGTTTGAATTAAAATATAAATTTCCTAGTGCGATCCACTCAACAAGGATTTATTCAGAATACAGTAGGCACATTGCATTGAGCCAGGAAACCACTTCACATAGACGCTGCTTATAGAGGGGGCTGTTTTGCAATAAAGAGAGCATCTTACATATTTGTGACCTTCAAATATCGTTTGAATATTTTTCTTTATATTTATGGAAATGTCGAGGTCGTGGGTCTTGCCTCTCCATTCTAGAAGTCAGAACTCAACTTCCCAGCATCTTTTAAGCTAGGATGCAGGCCTAGGTCAAGTCAATCAGATTCACCAGTGCTACTACACTCTTATTTCTTTCTTTTTTTTTTTTTTTTTTTTTGAGACTGAGTTTCGCTGTTGTTACCCAGGCTGGAGTGCAATGGCACGATCTCGGCTCACTGCAACCTCCACCTCCTGGGTTCAAGCAATTCTCCTGCCTCAGCCTCCTGAGTAGCTGGGACTACAGGCGCGCACCACCATGCCCAGCTAATTTTTGTATTTTTAGTAGACGGGGTTTCACCTTGTTGACCAGGATGGTCTCGATCTCTTGACCTCTTGATCCACCCACCTCGGCCTCCCAAAGTGCTGGGATTATAGGCGTGAGCCACCGCGCCCAGCCCTAGACTCTGATTTCTATGAGAATAATGGGGGAGAGAGGAAAGGAGCCATGGAGAATTCCTTCCTGGCCATGAGAGCAGCCTGCAGAGGGACCTGGAGCAGCAGAAATGAGGGCCTCATGAAAACACTCTGGCCCCAGTGACCTATTTCCCCATTGGTGCTGCAACTACAGAGATGAAGAAAACAGGCATGGTTTATTTCCCTTGGTGCTCTCGGTTGAACAGGGACAGAGAATGCAAAAGGGAATGTACCAGGGAGGCGTAGAAAGCTGCTTTAGGGCATCTGGGATGCTGCTCTTGTCTGGGAGATGGGCGTGTTTAAGGAAAGTTTGTGTCTGGTTCATCACAAGCTTGGCCAGAGGTGCTGGAACCCTAGTCATCAACAGGCCGGCAAGGTGATTTCAATGCTGCCCCCGGATGCTTTCGTTCACTGCAGATTCCTTCGCTCTCACTAAGAGTCTATGCACATTCCAACCCCCTTATCAATTCTGCTGCTGAATCTAGTTACAGGGTATATGTTGCTTGCCACAACGAACCTGAAGATGTTTAGAGAAAACTTATTCCTTTGCCATTATAAATGTCAAGACAAGGGGAACAGAAAGGTAAAATACGGCAATGTATTTTAGGTTGGTGTGAGATGCTTCTAAACATAGACAGCTACAGAGATAAAACTCTCTAAATGGAAATGAAAAGCATCCTTACTATGTTTCCATGGCACACACAATTACAACTATGGATGTTGTGCTGGTTTTCAGTGCTTTTTATTTTATAAATCACATGCTGAAATAACTTGCCATGTGCATTTCTGAAAAACTGACACAGACCTTAATGAGGCGACAGGCTAAGGGTGCATCCAAAAACAAAGCCAACAACAACCCCCCTGAATCAACACAACCCACCACTACCACAACAACAAAATAATAACCAGCTCACACTACACATGTGAATGAGAAAAAAAAAAATTAGCAGAGAGAAGCCAAACTGTGAGCTCAGCCACTGCATTGATGCTTGTAAAAGTCTCAAAAGTCATCATGACTCATCTCTTTTTTGATGATAAAAGATGAGATTGGGCCAGGTACACTAGCTCACACCTGTAATCCCAACACTTTGGGAGGCTGAGGCAGATGGATCACCTGAGGTCAGGAGTTCAAGACCAGCCTGGCCAAGATGGTGAAACCCCACCTCTACTAAAAATACACAAAATTAGCTGGATGTGGTGGCATGTGCCTGTAATCCTAGCTACTCAGGAGGCTGAGGCAGAAGAATCACTTGAACTCAGGAGATCAAGGTTACAGTGAGCCAAGATGGCACCATTGCACTCCAGCCTGGGAGACAGAGCAAGACTCCACCTCAAAAAAATAATAAATAAATAAAGATGAGATTGAAGACATCATGGCACCCATTGACAATGAACGACTTTGCAGGCCCTGAAGTTATAAGGAAGAGGATAAAAAGCAGCCTTGACCTTAATTGCTGACACACTGCCACTTGGAAAAGAGACTGCTGCTTAGCAATGTTTAGAAAGTGGTTAATAAAATGAATAGAATTTTTATTGTTTTAAGAATAATACTATTTCTGGCCAGCTAGGCTATAAAAATAGACATAAAATCAGAAATAGTCTACATATATGAGAGTGTTTATTGAAGCAGTGTTTATAAAAAGGAAGCCTTGGAACTACTCTAAAAGTTTCAGAAAAGAGACCAGATTAAGTGGCATAAGACTCTCACAGTGATATACATTTAACATGATGCCAATTTTGAAAGTAATAACATGGTAAAACACGCTAAAGAAAGGTAGCGTATGAAATTACAATTTCAATTTTACTTTCAAAAACCCTTAGCTATGTAGATATAGATATATTTGGAGAAACACAGAAATAAAATATGTAAAAATGTTAATATACAACAGTGTTTTTATATATAGGTGCCATAAATAAAAGGTGACTTTTTCTTCTATCTTTATAATTCCATATTTTATAAACATGAATTTTATTACTCAAGTAGAAATCAGTATTAATTGTATATATAATACTATAAAATATGATATATAATAAAAGTAATATTTGTGCTTCGTAATTCTAACTTAAAATTTTAAATCTACCCATAGATAGACTACATAGAAAGAAGCATACAAAACTCTTAACATTTGTAACTGGGTGGTAGCATGAAGTCTATTTATTTTTTCTTATTTGTACTTTCTCAGTTTTTTAATAACTGTTGTTATACTTCTAAATAAAAATAAGGAAAGTCAGAGAATTCTTGCATTCTAGCAATCACAGAGCCTAATCATCAAAAGCAAAGAACTTAAATCTAAACAGGTTCTCTAGGTTATTATTCTAAGTTTCAGAGGGGGAACCAGAAGCTGCCTGAGATACTAAACCATTAAATACCATTTTCCAAATTCCCACAAGTTTCATCTTTAATGTGATAAACAAAGCTCATAAAACCCATGAATATAACCCAAGAAATTATATTCACTCACTTAACCTATTAATATGTTATAAGAAATTATTTTTCCTCTCTTTAGCTGCAACTAAATATGAGCACTTTTTGATAATTAATACTACAGATATAGAATGTATGTGAGATATATATTCTCTTGTTTGTAAGAAAGCTTCAGACTCATTGATCTGTTTTCTCCTTTACACTTCTTAGACTAAGAGTTGCCTCTAGCAGATTCAAATCCAAACACACAGCAAAGCCTTATTCTTCTGAATACAAAAGTTGAGCTGCTATTTCATGTGTGCATATGAAAATAAAAGCAGACTCCTTCAAGCGTTTTTGTTTCATGCTCTCTTAAGTTAAAAGGAAGATAAGAGATAGTGACAGCTAGAAAACTTGGAATTGGCTATAGCTAAAATGATTCCTGTCTTGAGGAGGATTGGAAGAAAAACTTAAGAACTATTATATCAGCATCAACTAAGGAATTCACCCGAAGGCAATAGTGGAATTATGTAGGTGAAGTCAAACCATGAGGGGCTTGTATGCCATAGGAACCAATGTGCACTTTATTATTCAGACAAAAGGGATAAACTGAAAATTCAGAATAATTGTCTTATTCCACCCCAAGCTTCAGATTTCAGTACTAGCTCAGAGGGTGAACTGTGAGGTAGCGATGAAAGTATTCCCAACTTAGAGGGTCATGCTATTCACTTATCAGAATAATCAAGGTAGAGAAAGATTCTGTACCCCATCTTTACCTCTACCTTAACAAACGACAGAAACCAACTGCTGAGACAGATGGGTTATCCAGAAACCCCAACCATCCAGAAAACAGCTCAGCACCAAGGAAGACATTATTTTCATTTCTTTCTTTCTTTCTTTCTTTCTTTCTTTTTTTTTTTTGTTTTTGACATAGTCTTGCTCTGTCGCCCAGTCTGGAGTATGGTGGCATGATCTTGGCTCATTGCAACCTCCACCTCCCGGGTT